TGCGGCGACAAATCACGGACTGGTGAGATGGCGCCACTCCTCTACGAGTTTCCCGGGAATCCCGGATAGAAAAACGGGAACTGGGTTTTTCCCAGAGAGAGAATTCTGGGTATTGTTGCTTCTTCTTCTTGTCGGGTGATCGCTGCCATGAGCACGTGTAGCTCTCTTTCAAGTGTACTCGAGGATTGTTGTAAATAAATGTTGTTTTAGTTTAAAACGTGGTCGTGGACTTAACTAATTCACGTTTACAGCCTTCTGATAAAGACAATCTTGGTGGAGATGTAAATGGATGGAGAAAGACGGCCAGGTTTCGTCTAACCGATAACGGCCATCCATTACCTCCAGTGGTGACCCGAACGTGCTTCGACGTGAATTCGAACACCAAAGAAAGAACAAGACCTTTACTAGTTCTGCATTGTGTTCCCTCAGTGGATAGTACGGAATAAATTCCGCGACTACGATAGACGACGCTCCTTGGATATGTGAACCGCTCCAAACCGGCGAAATTGTCCCCACATTTGTGCGTCGGCAACCTCTTGCCAGAATAAGTCATCTAACACGGGTAAGTGGAGTTTTCTGTTCCATTTTTTTTGTTGTTCTGCTGAGTAGGTATCCCCTGGTTGTCTTAAAATGCCAAACGAAATCGATCTTAAGCCAGAAATCAGTCGGGTAGCTCTTAAACTTCCCCAATTTTGGGATAAAGAAGCCGATTTATGGTTTATTAATATTGAGGCTCAGTTTAAACTCGCCGATATATCGCAAGATACTACTAAGTATTACGCAGTGGTTTCAGCTCTCAACTCGGAAGTGTTAGCGTACGTGAGCGATATCGTTAAAAACCCTCCGAGGGAAAATCTATATCAAACACTTAAAGATCGACTCATAGCAGAATTTTCCGATTCCGAACAAAAACGAGTGAAAGATTTGCTGTCTAATGCCGTGTTAGGAAATGATAAACCATCTCATCTTTTACGCAAAATGCGACAACTAGCTAGTAATAAATTCGGGGAGGAATTTTTAAGAACGCTATGGATTCAGCGTTTACCCAAAGAAACTCAGGCAATTCTTTCTGTTTCCGATGGGGATTTAGACAAATTAGCCCAAATGGCCGATAAAATTCTCGAGCTCACACCTTTGCAAATTGCCGAAACTAATTTAGCAACGAACGAAAATAATACACACGCGGTTATAATGAAGCTCCAAACGCAGGTCGCTGAATTAACAGAGTAAGTTAATCGCCTAGCAAGGCCCGGCGACAGACAATCACGCGATTATAGACACCCCCGGAATCGATCTCGGAATCGTCGGCGTTCGAAGACACCTGTTCGACCCCAGGCAAAAGACCTATGCTGGTATCACGCGAAGTTCGGTGATCAAGCAAATAAATGTAAGGCCCCTTGCAAATTCCGAGATCAGGGAAACTAGCTCGGAAATCACACGTGGCGCATGACCAAATTATTATATTTTCTTATCATAAGAATATGACCACATGGTGCGTTAAAAGAATTCCAAAATGAACAGGAACATGTTTCCACCGATGGATTATAAAAGTTTGATATTTTGCTATCAAAATATTCCTCAGTGACACTATTTTTAATTCTCATTTCTCGATAATCGATATCATAATTAGGATATCGATAATCGAAATTTAGGATATCATATATTATAAATAACATTAAAACCCTCATCTTTACGCCAAGGCTTTAAAAGGTTTAAATAGCCAATTGAGTATACATATTTTAAAACATATACATGCAGACTTTTTAATTATCAAAGAGCGTGGTCAAAAAGATCCTCTGGTTGTCTTAAATCGATCTTAATCGATCTTAAGCCAAATGACAAAAGAGAATTTCGCGATCTTCCATTCATATTAGACGCGTAAAAACACAAGAAATTGATAAATAGGAACGACCTTCTGTAAGACAGATGAAGCTTATCGATAAGAAATATATGGAATCATTTTATCATATTTTTTCCGATTTTATAATCGTCTTGCAACAATTCAAACCATCAGAAGAGTCGCTCCTGTGTGTAGTTTTTTTTTCTTAAATCTTTTACTTAAATCTGTAAAAATAATGATCTTTTATTGCGATATTATTGAAACGAATGAATACTTTTAAACTATTATAATAATTACGAGTATATTAGCCACAAAAATTCAAACTAAGCGGTAAAACACGAATTCACTGACAAGAACAATCCGTATTTTAATCTGTTCTGTACTTTTATAATGTATAAGTTATTCGATTCATTCTTTTCCATTCCTCCCGAATAGGGCAGACCGACCTTATTGAAAATAGCAATGGCCTTAACTTCGACCCACCAGTGGCCAGGCGGTCATTGTACTCTGAACACCGGTCGTGGATTCTCGCCTCGCTCGGACGGTCTCGCTTGTACGTTCACAGCCCGGCACACGTATTTGTAAAATCTAAGTGACTCGTACAACATAAAATTCATATAAAACGGAGTAATCAACAGTGTTATAGGGGGGTCGACTGGTACTCGTATCAAATGAATAAAGATGAGAAAACGCCAAGTGTTTAAATAGTAACACGTTCATGTGTTTGAGAATCATAGAAAATTATAAGTTATTTTTTCAAATAACAGACGGCGCCACTTAAGTTTTTTCGAATTTCAAAAGTTCCGTTGTAAATGTAACAGTAAGAAGTCATTTAATGTTAACGACGTAAAGGAAGGATAAAGCATATTTTTGTAATTACAATTGAAGGAATTAATTAATTTTGGAGTAAGCGAATACTTCTGGTGATAAACCGAAGAAAATATATCGGCCACGTTGGCTTTTTCTACTGTCCGAAACTAGTTGAATACGTCAAATGAGGTAAGGTAGATACCACGTGTCTTTTCTAACACCAACTGTCTGAAGTGCGTACCTTAATTGTGAGAATTGGTAAAGAGAAGCCAATGTCAGTAAATATCTTTTGTTTTCTTTAGCGGTTTTCAGTTTTTTGTCTATTTTACTTTTCCGGTTCTTATTTATAGCAGGAAAAAATGGCGACTACCCAAAAAATGACCGGTCTGTGTGGCATGATTTTGTTCACCCTCTTTGAAGCGTAATATCTTTTGTGCCTTCAAAAATTTTTGAAATTTTTCAGGGAGGTTTGTGTATTAAGGGAATTTATGCTATTAAATTTTGGGTGGTTAAAGGTAGAGTGGGTGAAGAGATAAAGGGGATCGTGTGTATCTCCAGTAGAGTCGGATCGAGTTACAAACTCCGTAACATAACCATTATTTATTATTATTATTATTATTATTACAGTATTAAGTTATCAGAAAACACGTCAGAGATGAGGCGAGTGAGTAGTCATGTGACCGGATTGCACCGAGAAATGTCACGTGACACGCTTCGTACGCCTCCGCCGTCTAATGCCCGCGACGAAAACAAGCTTAAGCAATGGCGTCTCGAACGAGGCACAATCGGTAAGTAGTCCTATGATTTTTTGTTTACAGCATTTTATATACTGGTCGCCCGGAAAAATGTTACGCGGTTTCTGAATGTCTATTAAATATGCCTTCTTTTTATAATAAAAGAATTAAAAAATCTCATATTCCCTTAATTAAACTGTATACCGTGTTTCCCCAAAAATAAGACAGGGTCTTATATTAATTTTTGCTCTGAAAAATGGGTTAGGTGTTATTNTTTCAAGGTCTCTTTTTTTGTTTACTCTTTCCGCCCTGTGGGCCCAGGCCCATTATGGGTTCGGCCAGACTCACAATGGAGCGACCGGGAGGTGAGGGACGGGACCCGACATATCCGAACAGACCATCCCCCGATAAATTCCTGGGGATTCCTTGACCCGTCCGGATTCTATCCCGGGTCCCCCAGAGCGGTAGGCTGCCACCTTGACCGCTCCGCCATCCGGCCGTCCTATTTCAAGGTCTGTAAATACAGGGTCACGATACCGTGATGCATTGCGGCAGTTGCCATATTTGTGGTAATATATACGATGTTTGCGGAGTGAATTTAGTTCTTTTTTTCTATCTCAATTAACTGGATTTCTTCTTATATATTTTTATTTTAAATGGTTTGGTGTTAGGCACCGAATTGTAAGATTTTGTCAGCAAAAGGCGTAAGATTGTTCCGTTTTTTCTCGCTAATCAAACTAGGAAGGCGAAACGGCTTTAATGTTGCGGATAAACCGAGTGTAAACAACAGAATTCCAGGCTACATGAGGTTAATGGATAAAATAATGTTGAAAATACAGTAATACCACGACTTACGCTACCCCGACTTACGCGAATTCGGAGTTACGCGATTTTCAAATCTCGTCGATTCGTCTTTTGTTTGAGCGCCACGCAACTCTTGATTACTCACTCCCCCTACACTATTGTTCAGCTTACATGTTCGGACGTGTCGCGCCGAATCGACACATAGCTACAATTTATTTTGTGTTATTTATTTCTGTGTTTGTTATATCTACAGAGACTCGAGAGACTCTAAGTAGTGATTTCTTGTAACCTTAAACGAATCAAAAGACGAGATAAGATTAACGAGAACATTTATTAGCTTACATGCATCCGACTTGGATTTTACACAAATTGCGAAATTATACCCCGACTTACGCGGTTATCGCTCGGTCCCATCTATCGCGTAAGTTCGGGGTAATACTGTATAAATTTACGAAGTGTTCGCAATAACTGAATCTTTTAGATACGTTTTTAGCAGTCACAATTTGAAGTTAAAAGACCAGATGAGAGAAAATTATTGCTACTAATCATAAAAATAAATGTGTAAATTATTGTAAATTTCTTGAATAAATGTCCATACGTCATCCATTTGTTTTAAATTATATTTCTAGTTATAATATTTGGTAAAATTTAAATTTATACGTAAAACTTTTCCATAAACAGTAATATTCATCTTAAACTAAACAGTAAAACATTGACGATGTATTCGCTTCACAGTTTATAAGTAAAATCTAGCCATGTACAATAATATAATGACCAAAAATCTTTACTAAAATAATGATAGAAAGTATGAAAACTACATTTGGTAAATAGAATCTATCTTTGTACTGTAATCTGTTAATCTTCATTAAACACATCCTTCAACTCTTCTTGTGTTTTCCTAGCGACATTCTTCAGTTAAAGATTTATTGGTGGATAATAAAAGTTTTGCGTGAACTAAGATACGAGAATGGCGTCAAACGTTATATTCTGACTCAAATTAAACATTACAGAATTAGAACTAATAATTCTGGAAATTCCTTCTTCAACATTTTATACCACAAATTACAGCTTCATTTAAAACCCGAAAAAAGAAAAAAAATTGTAGTTAATTGAGATTGTGTATTTATACGCATTAGCTAAATTAAAATAAAGTAAAATTATGTACAACTTTCAAACTGCTTCCAGCAACCATTTTAGAAAAGACATACAGCTTACATCCTAGGCCATTTATATACATATCATTCCATTTGATAATAAAGGTTCTCTGAAAAAAATCTCGTATTCTGCCTCGTAAGTTACCTTCTGTTTTTTCTTCCCAATATAATCATCAATGAGATTTTCATATTAAATCAAGGCTATAAAACAATGTTAAATTTAAGGATGTGGCTGTTTAAACATACTGTACATATACGCAATTGGCTATTTATACATACTGATTGTATGTTCCTATATTCCGGCCAGATACTGACTGTATGCGCTATTATTACAATTAATATTGATATTTTGTTAATAACTACACAATTATAAATACTGTAATTATAGTTTTATTTATTAAAGTTCATTTACAATGTTGTTCAGTAAAGTAATCAATAAACTATAAAGTATCATTAAATTAGTGAAATATAGGTAATGAAATTTAAAGTAGATTAGTAGGCATACCAATAAAGTAAAA